ATTGCTTGCTTTATGTTTGATGCAGTGTCCTCGGTAAGCCTCGTCAAACCTATCATGCCTGTTGCGATGACTGCAAAAGGATTTGAAAGCTTGTTGTCGCACACCTGCCATCTTATACTGCGCTTTTCCTTTACAATCGCTGAGTTCAAACACAGGCTGAACAAGTCTGCCTGTACACAGTCACATCATCCTGCTATGAGAGAACACAGAGACAGTCCGATGGCCTCAAAACTGTGGGGAGAGATAGTGTGCACACATTTAGTAACCATGAACACAATAAAACTCTTCCTCAGCATCGCGTGGCTCTGCAGCCCAGCCGGCAACCATGTGAAGTGGCTTTTTTCCTGCCTCGTCACAGAACATTTTGTCTGTATGCCCCCTGCTGTTACAGAGCATCCTGCGATGAATAACACATTTAGCATAAAAGCCTCTGTGCATGTTTAAGGGTCGCACTTCCACTACATGCTTCATCCTGTGGAGGGTCGTGGGGAGCTGGAGCCTATGTGCGGGTACATCCTGGACAGGTCACCAGTCCATCGCTGAGCTATCACAAACAGGTCACGCACACACATACACTCACTAACGAACCTTCCATGAGCATGAGAGGAAGCTAGACAAAACCCACAGAGACACAGGAAGAACGTGCAAACTCCACAAAGAAAGGCCAGCCGATTCAGACCGAAACAGTACAAACCATTTCACCACCACTAGATTTAGGGGCATCTATTAGTTAAACTGAACACTGTATATTTTTATTCGAGCATAACCATCTGTAACTACAAATAATGTTTTTATTAACTTAGAATGAGCCCTTCATATCTATATAGGGAGTAGGTCCTCTTCCACAGAGGCCACCATGTTGTGCCACTATGTTTCTGAAATCACAGGTTCTAGAGATGTCCATTCTTGTTTTAACATTGAAGTGGTTGCCAATGTAAGTTCTCTTTGAAGTCGGGTATTCAAGCGGTTGCAGTCTGGAACTTCACCTAGATGCGATTAAATCCTTTACACTGCTCCTTTAATAGTGCACAAGGCAAAAACAAATCCTCCTCTACGTCTTCTCTACAAACTTTGTCTAATGAAGCTCTCAGGAGCGAGAAGTCATCAGTAAAGTCAGCACAGGTTACAACGGTGTGCAGCATGTTGTCAGATGGGAACACTAAAAACAGCCTGATATGGACTTTTCAACTAACACATCAAACTAACCTTGTCTTAACGAGCAAACTCATCTACATCCAGGGATAATCTAACTGCAACACTTTACCTGACCGAACAGTCATTTCAGGAAAATCAGCAGTTGCCAGCTAAAAATGTCTGTGACCTCTGTCTGAAATCTACGATCTATTGTTTCAAAACTCACAATATCTGCCACCATTGTTATCTGTATTTATTTTGGGTGAACGGAAAGTTTGGCAGTCATAGCGATAATATCCAAGGAGGAAGAGGCTGAGCTCTGGCACACATGGATGAAAAGTATGTTTAACTGCTACACAGCGTTGACAGAGTATTAAATCAAACACTGATTGGAGACAATTATATGAACGCTTTGGTTAAATGAGATGTTTACATAAAGGAGCAGGTACGATCTACATATGTTAGGCCCATCATAAATGTACATCGCAGCAGCCGCGTTCAATTCAAACGTTGTCAGTTCCCCTTTTCCTGATGAATTAAATCAACAGGAACCGGCATACATTGACTTTGACTAAATAATAGATTTTTTGATTCACTGATGTCAGTGTTGGGGTTTAATCAAAGATGCTCTTTAAGACTGCAGATAAGACCCAGAGCTTTCTGAGAATCTTTTCATTCACCTGGTATGTCCTTAATTCAAGGTCACCTGGTTCAAAAGGAAGCAACATTATCTCTGGCTAGAATGCAAGTTTTACTGAATAAAAGCTTCCCACAAATTTCAGTGAATTTCATATGCTCACCTTCTTTAATGACTTTCCCCCCACTAGGTAGCAGTTTAGCCTGTTGTGCATCTCTTGCATTGGTGTTACATTGGAGTCTCAGAGCTAAACTATCAGATTTTTACTAAAAATAATTACCTTGTGATCTTTTAAAAAACCCAGAAGGGTGCTGTGTGTGTGTGTGTGCGCGCATGTGTGTGTGTGTGTGTGTGAGTGCATTCCTATTTCATTTTGTATGGAAAACACAGAAAGAGTGGCTGCATGTGTTATTTCTGCCGAGCTTCACACATTGAGTGGACAAACAATCTATTCCAATTAAAGCGAGCTGCAGCCCTGGAGACTGCAGAAGGGGCTGTGCTCCATCGGATCACATCATCCTTTGAAAAACCCCAGAATGGCTGATTGTGATTTGGAGGAAACAGGCCCCTTCAGGAACAACTAGTGTGGGCTGGCGGCAGGGGGAAGGGCCGGAGGGGGGGTGGCAGACTGGCTCCAAGTTCGTCCAGAAAGTTCCACAGAAAATAGCGTTATGGTGGAAGGTATTGGAAGGGGGGAGGTGCAGGGAGGAGGGCAAGGCCATTAATTCTGGTTGTAGCCCCGCTTTAGTGCTCTTACTGCATGTGGGGCGAAGAGGCAAATTAATTATATGGCTGAGATTAATTAGGTGATGTTAAGGGAAATCTGTGACTGTAAAACTTTAGGGGGCTGCACAGCTGACTAGACTAATGGGGCGTTCATGAACTCTTAATAGATGCTACCCTGACGTTGACTGGTGTAGAAGCAGAGCGGAGAGAGACAGCAACGAAACCAGAGACGGAAACAGTGATTGGATGAGAGGACGTCTCACCGCTCAAACTAATTTCAGCAGAGAAGATCCAGAAAGCTCCACATTATCATTACATTCTCCTCCTTGTTCTTAAAGCTGGACTCATCAATATTTTATAGCAACAGAGATCAAATGACTGTAACATGAAAGAGGTTTCCTATAGTGACAAACTCACAGAGAATTATTAGCAAAACTGCAGTTACCCTCAATTATGAAGCTTTTTAACATCTTTCGGTTTATAGTTTGAGCCTTCAGCAGTACAGTTTAGGGCTGCTGGATCACTTTTATTGGCATCGTTTTTAGAGCAAAAAAGAAAATCACACCTCTCAGAAGGTACTGTGCAAACTCGGCATTTCAAATCCTACAGAGGTGTTATCTGCAAAATGTACTTATTATATCAAATGTAAAACATGACTGATATATTATATGTTGTATTATTACATTGCTACAGTGCACCAATAATGCATATGCACGATTTTACTCTTGGTTTTAACTTGCTAGTTTCAATCCAGTGGTTCCCAGCCCAGGGTTTGGGCCCCATTCAAACAATCACAACATAAATCTGAGGGATTCAAAAATAATGAAAAAAGAAAACACTGAGTTCAGATACATAGGATGGAATTGCTTTTTTTTTCAGGCTCAGTGCTGAATTTGTCTTTTTTTGTGAAATATTAGACAGTCCCCCCCCCTTTTAGGGCTCAAACAATTATTTTAATTAAATCATCTGACAAGTTGAGAGGCAAAAAGTCTCTGCTAACAATGACTAATAGATGCTAATTGTGCTTTCTGTGACAGGGTACATGCCAAAAACAAGTCAATGTAGTGCATTTTATGAGCTCATTCTCTGATTTGCTATCTAATATAGAAGTAGAATTGTAAACTAGCAGAAAGTTTGCTGAAGTGCTTGAGTGTTTGTATTGTAAAGTTGGCGTTATTTGCAGGTATGTTGTTTTTTCAGCTCTCCTTAAATGAGTGTTTTTGCAGGATGTGGTTTGGAGGGCAAAACCGATTTATCTGAAAATTGCATCAGCCCTGCTTCGACCCAGAGAAAGGTGACACTGACATTGCTGCTGCTTTATTCTTGATTTCAAGTGAAGCAACTACTGCATTCCTGCAAGTTCCTCCAGATGTGGCGACTCCGAAGGACCATCTGGAGTATTGAAGCGTTCAAAACAACTCAAAACACAGAACATGCTGCTTCTGGTGTTATCGCTGCACATGACAGATGACGCAAGCTGCTACAGCAGAGATCAGCCTCCGCCTCGCACCTCCACACACTGTTTACTCTTTCTCCTCCTTTCGCCCTACGCCTGCAGCCAAACCTGTTCTGTGCGAAAGCTGTTGATGGACTTACTCACCAGTATCACTACAAAAACACATGTTAACTGCGAGCAGATCAGGGAATACTGTTCACGATCTCTGAGGGCCAAAAGAATAAGAGAGAAATAAATATTGCTGCGGTCTGCGTTTAAAGGGGCAGTTAGGTTAACATCCTGTCTGCAGAGTCCCAGTAAGCCCCTGAGTAAATCTAGGCCACATTCAAATATGAAACAGCTACTGTGGGTTTTTGGAGCTTAATGTCTTTGAGACTGTGCTGCTGATGTTTTCAAAGTAGCAATACGATTTGAATAAATAATGCCTTGCCTCTCTTAAAAACTGAGTAAGAAGATCGCACCCTTGGGCATAAACAACTTCTCTTTTGATTTCTCATGGTTGAGATTGTGCTCAAATCTGACTTTACCTATCTGCCCACTCTCAATTCTCTTATGCTTATCCTAATTTATGAATTTACTCTCAGTGTGTAAAAAAACTGCCCTGAGAAGGAATACAACTATTCATGGCTGGAGTACTACAAACATCAAATGAACACTTTTTTTTTTGACATACTATAACCTACTGTGGTTCACATTAGCTTGTGCAGACAAAGTGTGGCAAAACAGGAAATTCAAGACTGTCCAGATCATAGATGATAGCGTTGCATCATAGTTTTATGTGCATGTGACAGACAGCATGAGTAAAATGTTCAAAACGTCCTGTCCATGAGTGTAAACTCATTCAGAAAGCAGTGCGATCTGGTGATCCACTGAGATGACTGCAGCCTGCACACAGACACATCCCTGTTAGTTGAGTGGAAATGCTGACCTTTTTTTTTTTTTTTGCTCATTATGACACAAGACAAAATGCACAGCGGACAGATGTATAATGGATGAATAAAAATAGATAAACCAAGAAGGGGAAGAAAAAAAAAGCATCAGACATGCTAAAAATAAAATACATCTTTATTATGGTATTAATTCTTAACTTTAAAAAAAAACATTTACAGTACACTGTAATGATCAGCAATATATGATGTGCACACAGTGTTTATATAACTGACTCTTACATGAGGAAAAACTGGAGTAACGAAAAGAACAAATCCATATTCAGTATGGCGTGTGCCTGAAAGTGACTGAGAAAATCATAGCAGCAGGTATAGGTCCTTCAGAGCTCCAAATGCAGTTAGACGTTAATAATGCCATATTATATGAAGTGAGACGAGAAGGTATGACAATATTAAACCGCTCAGCACTTATCTTTATGTAACACATTAACTGGCACAGTCTCAAGTCTGAATGTCATCATCAATGTCATAATAAGTCGTCTGCTTTGATCAGACGAGTCGAACAGTAGTGAGTGTTTCTAACGGTACAGAAAGACAGTAAAATGTGTGTCATGATCTGCAGCCTGCCCTGATATTTGGCTCGATCGTCCTCCTGTAACAAACGCACTAGTATAAAAATAGATTTAGTTTAAATTTACATTAGCTTTGTCTCTTCATCTACGCTGTTAGTGAGGGAAAACAGGAGATCGTCCCCAAGCAACTCTACACCAAAACGCTGAGGCTCGCAAGTTCATTTCCAGTTGAACGTTCGACCCACCAGCTCAAAGAACTTCTTGTTGGGTTCGTGAAAGAATTGGTAGAGTTTCTGCAGGATGGCAGGAGCCACGTGAGGGTGAGCCCTGCCTTTTGAGTCGTGTAAACACCTCTCTCGCCCGTGGTCTCTTAAACAGTAGAATCCTTTAGTTTTATTGAAGTAAAAATTTGAAGCGTTTATCTGGGGTTCCAGCTTTAAGAACCTTTCCACCTTTTTCATCTCAGGGAAGGGGTCCCTGATCAACTCGTCCCCGTCCACAACGTGAATGCTCTCCAGCGGGAAGTAGTGCAGCCAGTTCTGCATGTGAACATAGTAGAGGCTTCGATTGAGAGCCTTGTATCCCAGGTTGATCTCACCATCCTTCACCAGCACTGACTCGATGGGCTGGTAGCGCTTGTGCTTCTGGAGACGGTTGTAAAACACCTGCGTGTAGTCCGAGAGCACACGCTCCGTGGGGTCTCTGAGGATGAGCAGCAGCTTGATGTCAGGGTTCATCTGATGGATACGTTTGGGGACTTTGCTGGAGGTGAAGTAGGCTGGCGTCTTCTCCACTGTCAGCTGGTCCGGGAATGCGTAGGGCATCTGGCTGAGGTACCAAGACAAGCCCTTCTGAAAGTGGCTCTCCCAGTCAAAGAAGTGCACCTCGTTCTGAGCGGCGGCCACGGCACTGTGCAGGCTGAGCATCTCAATCAACGCCCGCGTCCCCCCCTTCCTCACGCCGATAATGAGGATCTGAGGAAGCTGTTGGAGGGTCCCGTTGGGGTGGCTGGTGGTCCCGTTGTCAGTGGGCGACGCGGTGGGAGGCGAAGGTGGCCCCCCGTCAGCCATCGGCCTGGAGGGGAGGGGGGGGGACTGCATTGCAAAGAGCAGCAGCCCGAGGAGTAAGGCTGCCATGAGGGAGGTCCTGACCCTGGAGGATTTCAGCCTGGCGAAAGCACCAAAACTGTATCCCACATTGAAATAGCAGCTGCCTGAGGACAACGGTCCGACCGAAAAGCAAAAAAGCAGCTCCTCTCTGCCAGCAGCCGTCACTGCCAGGGAAGAAAACAGCTGTGATTAGACGATAGCTAGTGAGCAATTTTGGCAGAGACAAAAACCATGACGGGATTCATCACAGTTTTATGACTCAAAGTCTGCAAGTTGACGGAGGCAACATTTTTGCATCATTTATGACTGTTAGAGTGATTAAACTTTCAACTCCACCCTGTAGTAACTACAAATAATAAAATGTGGCATTAGTTACCGGTGCATGCTCTTACAACAAAGTGTCATTTATTTAATCTCACTATACAAGATGTACACAATGCATTGACAGGGGATGAGCTTGCTGATAAAATGTACACAATCAGAGTTTTATCTGTTAAATAACTAAAGGTTTACAACCAATAAAGATAAAATAAAAATAAAGCCAGACAGTAAACATTTGCCGCTGGATGTTAAACAGTGAATCTGATCTCGTAGATAATTAGCGGCTTGCAGGAGCTTAAATATTGCAAATGAAATCCTGGACATTATAAACTGAAATCATCTGTAACTGCACGTTTTGCGCATCCGACGGTCTCCCCTCGGCTTCGCATCGACCCACGGATCTTACCTTTCTAACTATACTCGTCCACTCGACAAAGATCTCATTTCGTGCAGCTTGGTTCTCTGAGCTCTCGGCGCGTCCACAGTAGCAGATATATGATCCACCTTTTCTTTTTTTTTGTTCGGTCCTTTTCTTTTCTTCCGTGCGCGCAAATAAAAAACTTGCGTCCAACCGGAGCCACAACTTCACCGGAGCGCCTCCTGCGTGCGGTGGATCAGACCCAGAGCGTCCTCCCGGTTTTTGAGTGCCAGCTGTTAGTGAGGAAGCCTACGCCTACATTACGCCTGCAGGACCACTCCCCCCCTCACTGACTCACGTTGTTGAAATGTTGTGGTATTTGACGGAGATAACGCCGCTGGTATGTGCGATACGAGAGGAGAGGGACGGAGGGGGACTGGAGCAGGTGTGGGACTTCATGGCCACACTTGCAGAAATGTGAACAAAAAAAAAGGAAGAAAAAAAAAGAAAGTGCAGAATGAAACAACACCATGTTGTAATGATGGCTCATAAAAAGGTGGAAATTGCTCCTATCTTGCTGGGAGTTCTTTTCTTTTTTTTTTTATGGAAATACCTCTGATTTAAAGAGTGTTTACCAAAAAGCTCAACTTATTCAAATGGAGCAGTGTGAGTTGCTCTGTTCAGTAAATTTGTTGCCCATAGAGAGCCTGCGCCTTCTCAGGATTTGGATTGAGGAAAAAAAAAAAAAAAGGAGGCGGGGATGGGGGGCTATTCAGCTGAGCCTCCAGGAGTTCTCTCTTCACTGTTCGCCTTCAGGGGAAATCAATGAAAGAGACAGACCAGTTATTCATCCCTGGCATTCTTCTCCTCCTTTGTCCACCAGTGCAACTGCATCTGTGGGTAGTCGCTGAGTCCAAGTTGCACAATCTCACCACCTGTTGAGATGCATTTTTTTCCCCCTCTTCCTCCAACGGTTCAGCAACGGCACGTCTAAAATATTGCTCCAATCCAAAGTGCAGATTTGCCGATGCTAAATTGAATCACTGCATTGTTTCGCAACATCCTTTGAGTCACTTTTGAGGGTGTGAGAAAGTAAGGATGACTTCAAAGTCCTGATGAGTAAGTGGCACGTCACTAATGTCAGATACCCTGTGTCACTTCGCCCTGCAGAAAAAAGAGCTGAGAAACAGCATCAATTAATTCTAATGGAAATACGAAACGTGGATATGCATATAGGATGTGATATGATGAGAAATCTAATCTTGATCAGCTTTAATTGAATGGTAACATATAGCCTGTGTCTAACGCATGAAGGGCTGAAGGGCTCTGCAGCTGAATATGGACGTATCTGATTTTACCCATGTTTGCGAAAATTTCTGCTGTGTAGGAGCATTTAGGTGAAGGCCATCACACGCATTAAAAAAAAAAACGCTCCATGTATACTAGGGGGCTACCAGCGGAAGGTTAGGTGCCACAACAAAAGGTCAACCCCACTTCTTAAATACATCCTTTCTTTGTCCAGAACGCAAACGCAAGTGCTTTCCTGCTTCACCGTGCTGATATGGCCGAGAGTTTCCTCCCCCCGCATTGATTTTCAGATGCAGTTCAGTAATCCGCAGATTCTGCCCTCTTCTCTCCTGGAGAAGTGTGAATTCAGCGGAGTCGTACAATGCGATCCCGCTTTGAGGATCATCAGAAGCGTCCGACTGCATTAACATGACAATGGTACATATTCACGGAGCGTAAATACCCTCCGTGCAACCTCAGTGACTTCCCTTGGCCCCAGCTCGCGCGGTTAAGCAGGATGAAATAACAACGGAGGTGGAAGAAGCGTTGTGATCTTTTACTTTGGAAAAAATAGCAATAAAACCCTATAAATACACCCCAGTACAAGCACAAGACCTGCATTCTTAATTTTACTTGAGTAAAAGAAGTGTCAGCTGAAAAATACACTTCAAGTATCAAAAGTAAAGCACTTAAAGGTGACACAATGGATTATTGTATCTTCAGCGTTTTAAGGATTTAGTTGGAGGAGACAAATTAGTTGGAGTATCTGCATATGCATAGTTTCTCTGACCTTGTTTTATTGCTTTCAAACTGTCAGAACAATGTACTGAAGTCTTAGTATCGAGTAACCCAAAATTGACTTCAAGATTGTACTTAGGTTCATACTAGATTAAAAGCACTTCCACCACTGAATAACAATATCTTCTCTGTGATTTGGTGGTGTCACGCCAAGTGCATATTTCATCTTTAAAGACCCAAGTCTTATTAAATGTGTCTCCTTAATAGGTTTGAAGAAAGTCACAGACAAAGTAACTGTTGCTTTTCATCCAAACAAGTCACTTTCACTTCTGATGTAAGGCAGACAAATCTTGCAGTGTTGCTACACGATCAGAATGCTTGAAAACATTTCCTTCAGTGCCTGTGCCAGCTGTGTAGGGCATTAAAAACAGGTTTCATCTGGCTCTGGGAGCCGCAACAGCTTCCAGGTTGTTATGGGTAAATATATGAAAAGCCAGCTCTGAATGTCTCAAGACTATGACCACAATTTATGTGAAGAAAACACAGTGAAAGCTGAAAGCTGGAAGCTGAAAAGTGTGTTTTACCTACAATACTAATGCTGTCATACAATTTGCAGACAAAACCTAAACGGCTCAGTTTTCTGTTAACCTTGTATGTGCTCTCATGAGAAGCAAACCTAGAAGGAGAACCTGAAACTGTTTAATTAATGCAGAGCTGTAATCACATTTAGGCTAAATTTAGGGCTGTAAAACACGCCATCACAGAGACAAAGCCATGCAGGCAGGAGTTTGTGCATAAAATATTTCTGTGTGGAAAACTGATTATCTGTTTTCATTGACACAGAGGTAGAGCCTCAGAACTCCTGCAGGCTCTGTAAGTGCTGTAACACTACGCTGTTTTACACTTCGTATTATTTTCATCTACTGAACCATTTTCTCATCATTAGTTTTCAATACAGCACATATAGCTCTGCCCTCAGGCTTCGAAAAGTAATGTTGTTTGGCTTTGATTCAAATGATTATTCTTATTTAGGTGAGAGAAATTAGAATTTTTTGTAATGCTCACTCAGTTATTTTTCTTATTTTATTTGCGAAGCAGCAATGTATTGAACATATTGTGGTTCTCTATCACTCTGAACACCTGAGGAGGAACAACAGTTATTTCTCCACACAGTGGCTGTTATTTTCTATCGCCTAATTCCACAGTTTAATTACAGTATATATGCTGTGAATCATCATCCGTCACACACCCACCCGGGGCACACTGCAGGTCATCAGCTTGTTCTATAGCTTCATCTATTTAATGAAATGCTGTTCTTTCTTCAAGTGGGTTCATTACTACAATTATTTCTGGTGGTAATACAAGATGATGACAAACGACACACATCACAGTAATAAAAATGATAACATCACCAGCAGAGTGATCTGAACAGAGAGGTATGTTTATGAAAGCCAGTTCAAGGAAATTCAGACACACATTGGCAAATTAAATGAGTCTCTTTGTTGTGGAATGTTTTCTCAAATAGCTGCAGCCACCTTTATTTCACTTGACAAGAAAAGTTGGCGCATTGAAGCCAATTTCTGCGCCCAGGTGCAGCTTCTACGTTTGGCTCATTTCACAAATACTGTAGACGTGCCCACGAGGAAAGCATAATGAAGTCGAACGCTGCAAACTGTCAAAAGAATTAGTGTCTGCAAAATTTGAATGATTATTTTTTTAGGGTGAAAAATAGATTTTCAGACTTAATTTGTAACCCCAAACACAGACGAGAAACCGCAGAAAGCTCCAGTGTATCTCCGTGACGACTGATCATCCACTCATGATGACCATGTGATATGAATTCTATACCACTGATGTGACAAATATAAAAAAATATTATCTTTGAATTAACTGGGCCGTGAACGGTTCTCCTTTTATATTTGCCTGAAACTGCACTGAACCACAAGTTATCTTTAATTCAAACTGAAACAGGCGGCAGCTGTTCTAGACATTGAAGTGCAGCCATTTTCTCTCGGTTCAGTAACGATCGATCCAGAACTGAGCTTGGTGAGCGCTGACCAGGACCGGAAGGAAAGAACATATTACACAGAGGTGCACCAGGCTGTATGTCTGACATCTGTCCAGTCTATGAGTGACGGCGGTCTCTTGGGTCCTCTGGCTGGACTCTTGTAGTTGTTCCAAAGTGCACAGAAAGTTAGTTTATAGTTTCAATGCTCCAAGCTGGCTGAACAATCTGTCTGAGCATCTGAGAACAACTGAGACGGCTGATATTTTTAAACACATAGGAAAAATCTCCCTGTTTAGCTTGACATTTGATATAAAAGCTCTGTGGTCATGACTTTATATCATTTTAATCATTTTACTTTATTGTATTCATGTTTTAAATAGTTCAAGCCAGGTCTGACTTACAACACGTCATGTACTAACGCTTTGTCAGGACTCGTTGGTGTCTCATTTGAAAGTGCTGGGTGCCACTTAGTGTAATTTTTCAAAACTCTGTGTAGTGTAACAGACCTATAAAAATCGGTGAGTGTCAGAAATAGCCGGCATGAGCCCACAGTCAAATGTTCTCTGCTGGTGTTGTCACTGTTGCTCTTCTTTAGGTAACAAGAAATTTGATTTGTGAATAAGGGTATGTTATTCCAAACCATGATCTCCTCCCAGCCCAAACCAAGTCGTGGTGTTTAAGCTTAAAATAGTGAAAGTCAACAAGACATAAGTCACAAAATATACCAAAATTAAGTGAAAAAGTAATGGATCAACACGGGATCAAACCTCAGTCCTGTGACTTATACTTCCTTCACCACACCTGGAAACTGGATAAACTGTATGAACTATTATCATATTGTTCATCAGTGTTAAATATTAGCATTAACACCAAAGCACAGCTTGTGGTTATCTCTCAGAAGCAGGCAGCTTTGACAAATGGCAGTATTTGACCACTGGAAATGAGAACTGGTTGATTGTCTTTTCTCTCTTAATAATATTACCTGCTTCAATGTCTTTTAGCTATTTGATAAAGTTTATATATACATATATATAAAATGTATTATTGAACATTACTATTAATTCCCTTGAGCATTTCTGACGTAAATAGTTTTATTTTTTCAAATTTAAGATTTTTTCTTCTGCTTGTGAACCACCTGTAAAACATTTTCAATCGCTTACCACCAGTGACTATTTCCAGATTGAAAACTTGTCACAACATATTGCAAATTTGAAATCTGGCTCTATGAGA